ATCACACAGGGGGAGATTGCTCATCTTTCTTCAGACAAACAGCTGGTGGATTCGAACTGGGTGCCTTCAGGATTGCAATGCAGCTTCTTACCATGAGGCCACCAGACCTCCTTGGCGGGAGAAACTGGTAGATTTCACTACCTGCTATTGCATTGACAGTGCAACTCACTATCCACCAGCCCACCAGAAAGACCTTAAAAGGAAGAGTATATTTACCAGTGCACCCTTCCACGCAGACCCACGGTTTACAGTTTCATTTAAGCGGTGTTCTAATGTACTTGTTTCCACCTCAGTGCTTAGCATGTCAGGAAATTGATGTGGACATCAGTTCAAGCCCGTGGCTGTGCAGCCGGAGCCTGGCTTACAGAACACACCCTAACTCAGAGCAAACGCTGTCAGTGCTCCACTCTCCATTAAACTCCTTCCTAGGGGCCAAGAGACATTCAAACTGTGAATGATCAACACATTTCTGGACTCAATCATTGGGCTCTGAGAGGCTAGAGGGGCTTATAGGAGACAGGGGCATTATACTAACAGATTTCATTATAAACATGTAATTTGAAGACATCTCTTCTAAAACCACACATTGGAAAGCTTTTTCTGACTAAGAAAGAAGAATACTAAATTAAGGCAGCCTTTTCTATGTGAGTTAGTCTCCTCCAGGGCTGGAGAAAGAATGCATGATTTGCGCAAGATCTTGAGAAGAGCCCCCAGTGGAACAGGTGAAAGCACTCGACTGCTAACAGAAAGGCCATCAGTTCAAAGTCAGCAGCCACTCTGTAGGAAGAAAGATGTGCAATCTGATTCCAAAGGATTCCCAGCCTTAAATATCCTTTGGGGCAGTTCTGCACTGTCCTCTAGGACACCGTGGGCTAGAATCAATTCAATAGCTGTGAGCTTTGGGGTGGGATCATGGTCCCTTGTGGTGTAGATAGCTAAGCATTCAACTAACCGGGGGAAAAAAAAGTTGATGATTTGGAGCTCTGGTGGCCCTAGTGGCAAGAAGCTGCAATGCAAGCCCAGAGGTACACCGTTCAAATCTACCAGATGCTCTGCTGGAGAAGGAGGGCCAATCTCCTCCTGTACCAGTCACATCCAATTTGACGGTACACACAAAAGCAATGGTAAAAAAGGGAGGGGGGAAGTTGAGGATTCACACTTACCAGAGGTCTGCGACTCAGAAGACAGGCTTGGCTGGTGCTTCCACAAGGTCAGAGCCTGGAAAAGCTGATGGGACAGTTGCACTCTGCACACACGGAGCCTCTGTCTCACACAAGAATCAGGTCGACAGCAAGCTACAATAGACTTAAGCCCTGTTCCAAACTTGGTGTGTACCAGCTGGAAGTAGCAAATGCAGCCCTTGTCTTTAAAAAAAAAAAGTGTCCGTTATTTTGAGAGTCAGAACTCAGACAATTGTGGAATAGTATGTTAGAGATTGTTGTTGTTGTTGTTGTTGTTGTTGTTGTTGTTGTGTACACTCCAGTCAGAACCGACCCCTAGCTGACCCCCTAGCAGATTTTCAGAGGCGGTCAATCACACGGGAGTTGATTGCCTGTCTATCTCCCAAGGAGCAGCTGGTGGATTTGAACCACGTACCTTTGCATTGGCAGTGCAGTTTCTTACCACGGAACTCACCAGTGCATGTGTGGAAAGAGCATCTCAATAAACAGAGTCTTGTAATATGCACACAGTAACAACTAAAATTAGGGGCGATGCAGAGTGAGGGTCATAGTGAAGAGTATCAAGGACAGTTTCCTGGAGGAAATTGCATTTCTCTTTTAAGTTTGACTTTGAGGATGGAGGACTTGGCTGCTAACTGGAAAGTTGAAAGTTCAAGTCCACCCAGAGATAACTCACAAGAAAGGCCTGGTGATCTACTTCCTGTGAAAAACCTCACAGGCACCGTTGAACTCTGACACCCAAGTTCTCTTCAGACATGTGTGAGTTGATGACCAGAAGTCAGAACTGGCTCAAGGGCAATGAGCTTTTACTGTTTTGAAGGACATAAAGAAACATGTTAGCAGAGAGATGCTGGGAAGCGAGTGTGTCAAGTTCACGCCCAGGTGTGTGGTGTGTGTTCATAGGAAAACCTTTTCTCCTGCCTTCTTGTTTCCCGTAAGTCCAGGCCAAGCCTCCCTTATCTGAGTCTTCACAAGCCAGGAGAGCCAGGTGTTACAGCCCATCTGACAAAGTCCCTTGTCCTTTGAATCCCAAGATAGTGATATTAAGTGTCACCAGCCTTCCTTGACAGATGTCCGCCTTCTCCATTCCAGTCACACTCCAGTGCCTTCCCTTGGAAAAGGTGCAGGGCTCTCCTGTCCCCTCTGGAAGGTGCACAGTCCCAGCCAGGACAGTGTCCTCAGATGCTCCGTGCACCCATGGCTCCTTCCAGATCGGGGTGTGGGGGGAGGGGTGCTGACAGCTCCTTGCGCATTTTATCCTGGGGTGCTCAAGCCTTTGGATCCCCAGAGACGTACTGGCAGGTCATCTGCTTTGTAAAGAACCTTAGCCACTTTCCTGATTACCTGAGGAAGAAGAGCCCACCCAGTGGACAGCTTTTGAGGTCTCAACTGAAGAGAGGCCCATCATGTTGGACTGATTTTTCTCAAAGCAGATGGGCACAGAGGGGATTCTGAAAGCTTAATCAGGACACGGCCATGAAGCTTGTCTCCTTGTGAGGAAGTTATGTTGTTTGGCCATACCTGCTTTTCTGAATTAATCATGAAAGCTTATTACTGATTTAGGGAGAAAGGGGTTGGAATGATCCCCACCTGCTTCCTTCCAAGATGTGAAGACCATGAGATTTTAATTTGTGGATGTGTATATGTGCATAAGGAATGCTGGGGGCTTAGTGTTAAGGTTCTTGACAGTGAACCAAAAGGTTGGCAGTTCAAACCCCACTAGCCCGCTCTGCAGAAGAAAGACATGATACATCTGCTTCCTTTGAGGTTTACGGCTTTGGAAACCCTATGCTGTTCTCTGTCTTACGGGGCCACTATGAGTTAAAATTGCCTCGATGGCAGTATGTTTGATTTTTAATATGCATCGTATGTATGTATATTTGTGTGCTTCTCTACACAGTGAGTCAGTCACACTGATTGCTTTATATATAACCTATGTTGTTGTGAGCCACAGAGACGGAACTGACTCATAGCTGACCTTCCGGTGGGTTTTCAGAGGCAGTTAACTCCACTGGAGAAGATTGTTCACCCTTCTCCCACAGGGCAACTGGTGACCTCGAACCACATGCCTTTGGGATTTCAGCACAGCTTCTTGCCACTAGCCTATCAGAGCTCCCTATATAACCTACAGGCATGACTTTATCCTCTTACAATGTTTGGGGCTAAATAACATTTCAAGGAGCTGGGATGACTACATAATCTTGATGCACTTTTCTAACACAAGGAGCTCCGGTGGTATTGTGGGTAAGAAATTGCACTGCCAGCCCACAGGAGGTGGTTCAAATCCTGCAGTTGCTCCTAAGGAGAAAAATGGATAGTCTCCTCCCAAGCAATTTAGAGCCCCTAAAAACGTGCCAGATGGTCAGCTATGAGTCCCATCCAACTTGATGCCAATGAGTGGTGGTGGTGGTGTTTCTAATACAGGGCAACGAGGCATGTGGACTAAGAGGCAGGCCAATCACACCTTTTCAGATGTCCGGTTTATAATGAAGAGAGCTGCTTGGAGGTGGAAAGGGGACTGCTCACAGATTCTTCGGGGCAGCTAGCCTGTAGACAGAGGTCCCTAAGAAGGGTCATTTTATCTGGGTGTGCATGGGCCAGTGCAGAGAGGGAATGACAGAGGGAGTAAGTGTCCCAGCCTGAGGCTGCATCTACTCAGAAACTTCTGCTCTCACCCAGCTCCCCCAAATCATGACGACCTCTGACACAGTCAGCCAAATATACATGGCCCAGTCCTTCCCCACCCTCATGAGGGGCTGCAGATCTGCCCCCTGTGATCCAAGGGGGCCTCTCTTCCTAGTCCCTCTCACCTGGTCATCATCATGGAAGCCTCCACTGACATCCCAGCAATGGCTGTGCGTTAAAGTGTGAGGGCTAGAAACAGACCCCGGGGCTGCCCTGCTGAACCACAAGGGCCTCATCCATGTGGAAAAGACATTGCTTTCTCTCAACACGAGAGTGCCCGTGTAGACACGCCTACCTGCAGAGACTGCATACAGACATGCGGTCTGAGTACCCCTCAGACTCCCGCTGGGAGGAGAGAGGAGGGAGAGCAACGGGGGCGCATATGTCCCGGTGCCCTGCCGGGTCCCCTGCCATGGTGGGGGGGTGGCTGACATCTTCCCGGAGGAGGTTTGTGTTCATGGCACTCCCCTCACCAGAGGGCTGCCTTTTGCCAGTTCATCCACCCACAGCAACACCGTGCTGATTTGTCAAAAATAATCTGGCTGGGCTGTGGTGGTGGTGGTGTTAGGTGCCATCAAGCAGAGTATGACCCATAGCAACTTCATGAACAACAGATCTGAACCCTGGTCCTGTCCTGTGCCAACCTCACAATCTCATCACATGAGCCCATAGGTGCTGTCACTGTGTCAATCTGTTTGAGGATCTTCCTGTCTTTTGCTGGCCCTCCACCTTTCCAAGCATGATGTTTCCCTCCAAAGGCTGTACAGAAGTAGGTTAAATGTTACTAGGTTGCAGGCTACTAACCTAAGGTCAGTAGTTTGAATCCACTGGCTGGACCACAGAAGGAAGGTGAGCCAGGCTGCTTCCATCAAGATTATGCCCTTGATCGTTCAGAATAGAAAGAAAGAGATTGTGGACTTAGAAATGCTGTGTGACCATTCTGCTCTGATAGCAGGTCGCAATGGGTCAGAAGCAACCCCATAGCAGTGGGGTTTGCGTTTGGGATTTTAAAGTTGTGAAGCTATTCTACCTGTTTGAGGACCTTTAGAGTAAGGGTAGCTGTTGAAACTTTCACATCCATGTAAAGCATGACAGTTTGGATTTTTTGAACAGATGTGTCTGTCCTTGCTGCAGGTCCGTGGCGGTGCTCACCGAGTGCATGCGGAACAAGCAGCTGGCCAAGTTCTTCCGGGAGCGGCAGGAGGCTCTGCGGCACTCGCTGCCCCTGGGCTCCTACCTCCTGAAGCCAGTGCAGAGGATCCTCAAGTACCACCTCCTCCTCCATGTGAGCTGCTCAGGGGGGACAGGGCACGCTGGGGGACATGGTGTGCTGGGAGACAGGGCGTGCTGAGGGAAAGGACACACTGGAGGACAGGGCGCGCTGGGGGACCAGGCACGCTGGGGGACAGGGCACGCTGGGAGATAGGGCCTGCTGGGGGACAGGGCGCGCTGGGGGACAGGGCGCGCTGGGGGACAGGGCACGCTGGGGGACAGGGCGCGCTGGGGGGCAGAACATGCTGGGGGATCGGGGCCACTGGGGGACCGGGGCCGCTGGGGGGCA